CATAAAGGGGGTTGGGGGGGGGGATGCGTAATACGTATGCGTAATACGTGGAGCGTAAGCCCTCTCCGACACCTTGGGCGTGCGAATGCGTAATACGTATGCGTAATACGTGAGGCGTAACCCCCGTCGGCCGCCACTTCTCACTCGAATCCGGAATGCGTGTGCGTAGTACGTGGTGCGGAGGCCCTCTCCGACACCTTGGGCGTGCGAATGCGTAAAACGTATGCGTAATACGTGAGGCGTAACCCCCGTCAGCCACCACTTCTCACTCGAATCCGGAATGCGTGTGCGTAGTACGTGGTGCGGAGGCCCTCTCCGACACCTTGGGCGTGCGAATGCGTAAAATGTATGCATAATACGTGAGGCGTAACCCCCGTCAGCCACCACTTCTCACTCGAATCCGGAATGCGTGTGCGTAGTACGTGGTGCGTAGGCCCTCTCCGACACCTTGGGCGTGCGAATGCGTAAAACGTATGCGTAATACGTGAGGCGTAACCCCCGTCGGCCACCACTTCTCACTCGAATCCGGAATGCGTGTGCGTAGTACGTGGTGCGTAGGCCCTCTCCGACACCTTGGGCGTGCAAATGCATCAAGCGTATGCGTAATGCGTGAGGCGTAACCCCCGCCGGCCGCCACTTCTCACTCGAATCCGGAATGCGTGTGCGTAGTACGTGGTGCGTAGGCCCTCTCCGACACCTTGGGCGTGCGAATGCGTAAAACGTATGCGTAATACGTGAGGCGTAACCCCCGTCGCGCGTCGGCCACCACTTCTCACTCGAATCCGGAATGCGTGTGCGTAGTACGTGGGGCGTAGCGCGCCTTGAGAGGCACACCCCGATCGGCCGAAGGTGGATGCAGAAGACAGATTCGTAATACGCAAGACATTTGTAGCTCCCTCAGGCGCCACTTGGCTCGGGCACGACACCGAAATACGCGACGTCTGGCCGACGCACTATGGATCGCGGGCGCGTATTTACATAACATGGCCGATCTGTGCATTCTGGGCGACTACATATGCGTAGCAGTACAGACCACCTCCCGTCGGGGGGGTGTTGCCGGCGCTGGTAGATGATCTCTCGGAGAAGAGCTGGAGGGACCTTGGCGCCGGGGTCACGAGGAACTTGCAAGTCGTGGCCGAGGCGGCGACGGGCGCGGTGCAGAGGTGGATCCAGCTCAATGATGAGGCTACGGCGCGCATAATGAAGAGAGAGGAACACATCGAGTGGCTGAGGAAGCTCTTCACTGGGTGGAAAGAGGCTCGGCCGGCCTTGAGGGAGTCGCAGAGGAGGGATAACGCAGGCAACGCAGGGACGGGCCAACAGCCAGTGGGACGAACGAGGGCCGCGACGGCGGCTCAAGCGGGAGGGAGCGGAGACGGTGGGCAGAGAGCGAAGTGGGTGAGACTGATGATGCTCCTTCGACTTAGGGAGCGGTTCAGATGCTGGGCGGGCTTCAGGCTGGTGCTCACGCGAAAAGGAATCGACGCGATGTGCAAAGCATACAAGAAGGGGAGAAGGAAGAGGAGAGACGCCGGTGAACTATCTCAGCCGGCCCCGGCCGGGACGGGGCCTACAGAGAGCCACCCCCCCGGACGCAAGCTCTGTGTGGCTCCTGGGGCGTCCGCCGGGATCCCCCTATATTGCTGCCACACTCCCGCGAGTGTTGGGCCGTGCCCGCAGGCCGCCTTGGCGTGCCTCTTCGAGGCTGCTGAGTGCCTCCTTGCTGCCGAGCGCCCACCCACCCCGCCGCCACCGCCGCTGCGCGTAAGCTTGGGCTTGGCGAGGGACGAGTGGGATGGTCACGAGCCCTTCAACGAGGACGTGCATGCATGCGTACACGGCGCGTGAGGATGCGTACGAGTACATCGACAGCGACGAGCGGGAGGAGCGGCGGGGTGATAGAATCTTGGCCCGTCGTTGGGCAGCATACGCGTACCCTTAGTTAGCAGCGGCTCTGATGAGTAGGAAATGATCCTCAAGAAATAGTCCATTGTACCCATGCGGAGCCTTTTGACCGCGCAAGATAAAAGGGTGGCTAAGGGCTCTGCCCGCAAGGCGCCCGCGTCGCAGACGCGGTACCATTGACAAATCTGCGATATACCCCCACACGAGCAAATAGCAAAATCCGAATACCGTGCACGAATCCGGCGATGTGGGACCCAAGCCTTCAGCTGGTGCCAAGACGTAAAGTTGAAAGCAGAACGTCCGCCAAATCCGTGCTTTCGGAGCAACTGAGGGAAAGCTCCTGATCGAGCCCAGCGTGCCCGCGGCCGCCTCCCGCGCAGCACCGCCGCTGCGGAATCGGATCGAGCCCATGGAGGAGGAGGGCGCAGTCGGCCAGCGCAGCAGGCGGAGTCCCTCCCCGCGCCGGAGCCCCCCTGCAGTCGAGGGAGTCCTCGTTGGCGATGAAGGTGGCGACATCGAATCGCGGTCGACACACGTCACGGGAGGAATGGGCGATGAGCGGGAACGATGCGCGCTACGACGCCGACTCCGCCGTGCTCGTGGCCGCAGAAAGCCGCGCTCCAGGAGCACGCCAAGATGCAATGGCTCGCTTGCTTCGATTCAGCTCTCTCGGCAGCAGAAGTGGGGCTGGAGCGGGTGGGGGTGGATGCCGATTGAGGGGGAGCGTCTCCAGCTGCGCCCTGTGGCAGCTGCGCCCTGTGGCAGCTAGTCGAGGGACTTGGTAGTTGTGACCCCCCTGAGTGAGGACAGGAGAGAGAGAGCGTTTTGTGGTGTTGGTGTACGCAATAACGGGACAGGGTGGTTGTTCTCTCTATCTCCTCTTCTAGCTCTTAGCATGAGCTGCGCCCGGTGTCCGACCCCTTTTGCGCAGCAACACCTTAAACTTTTAGGCCCTCCAAATTCGGGTCGGAGCGTAGCGGAGTGGGCCCCGAGTTTGAAAAGGGCGACGGACGCTTGCGTCCTAGCCTCCAACAACGCCTCCCCGGCGCAGAGGGGCCCCCGGAGGGAGATGCACAACCGCTCCACGCCACGCCGCTTGCGGCGGTCCTCTTCCCAGCTCCGCTGAGGGCCCGTGCGTTATATTTGACGAGAGCAAAAGAATTTAAACAAAACAACTCTGTCTCACAGCAAAAGAAGGCGAGCTCTTTCGTTCCAGGAGGCGGCGACACCCCGCGTCCGTATTCCTGGTTTTCGCCCGCCGCCCCACCGAGCGCCGAGATCGATGGACAAGACTGAGACTGACACGGCAGCATCCATTCTCCTGAAGCTTTCTGCCTTGCCCCAGGCAAGGCGCCCTGTGCCATGCAGTGATGACCAGGATGCATGTGACGACAATTATCTGGACCGTATCCTTGCACTAGGGGGGAATGGGCGGTCGGCGTCGGGGTAGATAGAAGAGGCAGGGCGTACGGGGTAGTCGTCACACCCTCCTGCCTCACAAGGGCGGGGCTGTCCCGGAAAGTGAGAAACGCCGGGCAGCGTGACGCACAACTTTACCCTCCCACCCATACGTGTTTGCGGCTCCTCCTTCGTTCGCTGTCCGATCTCCTCATCTCTTTCCCACCTAGGCGGGGCGGGGGCGGGGGGGCGGCGGGCGCGGGTGCGGGGTGCGGTGCGGTGCGTGCAATCGTGTGTTTGGCGTCATGTGTGTGGTGTGCCTTCCCTTGTTCCTACTACGAGAGGGCCCGGCTCGAAAATCTTTTCATGCCAACCCGGAGAAGGTCAGTGCGAAGGGCAACAAGTCACTCGCATGGACGACACGTCGTCACATCGCCCGCTGGGCGCGCAGATCGGCAAGCTCTCGTGCGGCACGCAGCGCTGGATGAGCACGCCCTCCTCGGCGTCGGCGTCGTGGGCGAGCGCAAGCAGCGCCGCAACCAGTGCTGGCGCCGACGCGTGGAAGCAGGCCTCGTCGTTCTTCGTGCGCAAGTCGGACGAGCGACTGCCGCTGCTGGCCGACCTGGAGGCGGGCTCCCTCGGCTCCGTCGCAATGCGAGTAATGGGGCGAGGCGGGATGGGCCCGCCCGCATCGCGGCTGCAGTATTGGTGCCGCTGCTGGTGCCTGCCTGCCCTCTCATATCGGCAGCGCATCGTCGGTGCGGCCTTTTGCTTCGTATCGGGCCTGCTGCTCCTCGGCTCCTCGCTCCTCTCGCTCACCTCGCTGCTCCTCGGTAGCCCGGGCCCGTTTGCAGTGAAATACACACTGGGGAACCTGCTCTCGATTTGCGCGATCGGCTTCCTTGTCGGATGGGGCAATATGTGCCGCTTGATGTGCTCGAGGGAGAGGCGGGTCGCGTCGCTCATCTACCTCCTCTCGCTGTGCGGCACGCTGCTCGCCGTGCTGCGGCTGCAGTCACAGCTACTAGTCACGTTTGCTGTGCTCGTCCAGTTCGCCGAACTTAGATGCTGTGGGCTCAGATGCGTGTTAGTCGCTTGGGGGCCGCCACGCAGCCGCCTGCGTACGCCGTACTCTGGCAACACGCGCCTTCCGCCCTCACCGCCCCGCCCCGCGTTCCTCAACGCGCACAGGCTCGGGGCGCTCGCTTGGAGCGGCGCCTCGTATTTACCCTTTGGCCAGCGCACGCTCCGCCTCTGCTTCAAGTCGGTCCGAGCCCCCCACCCTCAGCCCCACTCCCAGCCCCACGGCCTCCCCACCCCTCCCTTCTCCTTCGCCCCTCCCGCCCACTCTCCTCCCGCGCTCCCTCCTCTCCCTCCCCTCTGCTCGCAGGGCTTCCGCCTGCTGCCGTTCTGAGCACGTGAAAACTCCTGTGGCGGAGGGCCAAAGGCATGCCGCATACGAGCGTGTGGAATGTGCGCCTGTCTTTCCGAGCGTATCATCTCTCCTCTCTGACCTTCCTTTCTTTTGACCAGCTACGGGGGCTATCGGTAGATTGCGCACCCTCTTCCTCGACCGTGGGGGGGGTGCGCGGTCGCAGGGCCATAACACGGGTCTCCGAGGGCGTACGGCAGCACTCCGGGTTTCCCTCAGCGGCGGAATTTTTCCCTCGCGCTTCCTTGGGCCCCCCTAGCAGCAGACCGCACCCCCTCTACTCGGAGCTAAAGAATACTCTCCTAGTGATTTGGACGGACGGATACACCCCCCCTTTATGCCTGACCCGAGGGCGTACTCTCTAGACACAGCACAAGACTCCACACGTGGGGCAGCCGACGCGGGCCGTTGAACACTAAATTAGATGTGCGAAAACTCGACACACAAACATACGCCCGGCGCGCGTCCCCTGCACCACTTTGAACGCCAGCTTGCCATTTGGCGTGCCCAACCCGTATTCATACTCGCGCCCGCCCTGACGTCCGTGGCCCTTGCGAGCGAGAGCTACATCGTCGAGGCCTCCCCCTTGCCCTCGCCGCCTCCACCGTCAGCCTCGCGGCCACCGCCTGCCGTCTCCCCCTACCCACGGCCGCCCTCTGCCTCACCCTCACGTCCGCCAACATGGCCTACCGTCTCCCCCTACCCGCGGCCGCCCTCGGCCTCCCCCATCCCGCCGCCACCCTCACGTCCGCCAATTTGGCCCAACGTGTCTCCGTCACCGCCGCCACCGCCATCTGCACCGCTGCCCTCCCCTCCTCCACCATCCACCTCGCCTTCCCCTCCGCCGCCTTCCGCCTCGCCCTCCCCACCGCCAGCGCCTCCGCCGTCCCCGCCGCCACCCTCACGCCCGCCGATCTGGCCCAACGTCTCTCCGTCACCGCCGCCACCGCCATCGGCGCCGCCACCACCTCCTTCACCCTCGCCGCCGCCCGCGGCGCCGCTACCACCTCCACCGCCTTTGCCACCGCCCTCTCCATCACCGCCCCCGCGCTTGCCGCCGCCCACCTCGCCGCCCACCTCGCCGCCCACTTCGCCGCCACGCGGTCCCCCACCCTGGTCTCCGCCTCCCCGAGTGCCGCCTCCGTCATCGCCACCGCCGCCAGCTCCGCCTCCCCCCTCGCCACCGCCTCCGTCGGGATTGCCACCTCTATCTCCGTTGTCCCCGGCTGCGCCGCCGCCATCGCCACCGCCGCCCTTCGCGCCACCTTCTCTGCCACCCTCTATACCACCGCCCTCAGCCCCGCCCGTAGCGCCTCCACCAGCAGTACCTTTCTTAATAGTTCTGGGAGCAAACGATTCCATAGCGTACTGGTCGTGAAGAGGCGCGATGGAAATCGTGGGACGCGAGCTGAGCGGCGGCCGGGTGTCAAAGGTCGCGCGCACAGAGGCATCCCCCCCAGGGCGCAGGGCCGCCGGACGGGTCGCGGTCGGTCGGTCCCGGCGCTGTTCACACCCCATGGGACATCCTCAAAGGAGGGGGCGGCATGGCCATCTCCCCCTCCTCCAGCCCGCAATCGGCCCGCGGCGCGTGCAAGCCGCAGGGCCCCCACTCCGCGCAGAAAACTCGGGACTTTAGCTACCGGTACGGCCTTCGTATTGCAAATAAAAGACGTGGAGCTCCTCGCCTCTCCAACGCCGCCGCAATCTCCATCGCCAGCCATGCTCTCGTTCGCCGCCGCGCTCTCTTCTTTGGCGCCACCGCCGCCGCCGCGGCTGCCTCTGGAGGGCGGGACGCCCAGCTGCCAAAGCCTCGACTTGCCGCCCAAGTCGAAGGCAGTGTTCTCCGTGTTTGGAGGGTCAAACACGCAGGGTGCGAACGCCGTCTCGCTAAACGCCCGCGGCGGTACGAATTACGGCCGCGCCAACCCGTCGTTTGCGAGGCTGCTAGCCGACAGGCTGCGAGACACGCATATTGCAAAGTGGAACGCTGACGGCGGCTCTGGCCCGCTTCTGGCCGGCACGTGCGCCAGCCTATTCATTCCTCCGGACACGCGGCTGGGAACGATCGAGTACCTGCCCAATTTGGGGTACATACATGAGGATCAGGCTGAAGTGGGCTCAATCAAAGCTATGCTGCACATGCTGCACGCGCGCGGCGCGTTCGCCTTTGTCGTCAACATTGTCAGTGGCCGCAAGCGCTTCGAGAATGAGGCACGAGGTTCAAGACAGGCGTCGCAGTGTATCAGGCTGAACTTTAGCGAGAACGTGGTCGGCTGCACAGGCCGAGATCGGCTCTTTGCCTTCCGCGACAAACTTGCCCTTGCAGCCAACGCCACGGGCGCCCACGTCGTCACCATCGATGCGGACGAGGTGCCACATCTTTTCGGCGCTGACTCCTTTCACCTGAACGCTGAGGGCCACCGGACTGTCTTCAACTCGATTTGGCGAATCTACCGCTCGCTCCCGTGCATGGCTCGTCACGATCGTGCCGCACGCACCCAAATAAGCGAGGAAGCCGGCGTATCGTGCGCGCTCGGCGACGAGCTCGCGCCGCTGGTGGGCGAGGCCGCTGGCTTTGAACGCACCGATCTGCAGCCCGGAAGGGTCGAAAAGGTCGGGTGGGCGGCCAGGCAGCCCAACGCCTCGCTTAAGTTTTGCATCCGGCTGCCGCGCAAGGAGAAGGAGGCGCACGAAGCGGAGCTGAAGAACCGCATCTTTCTGAATTCCAAAGATGCAATGAAGATACCGCTGACGGCAGGCTTCCCTTACCGCATTTCGGTCGGCCTGCAGGCGAGTCATCCCCGCAACCACCCACTGTTTGGCGTTGCCCAAGTCGACTGCACAGGGTCATGCAACTGCATGTGCGCCGACGCGCCGAGGTCTAAGCCGGGCTGCCGGTTCGACACGCTCTCAAACACGTCAGCGGTGACCATCACGACGTACCTCAACCTGAAAGTGTCAGAGGCGGACCCTGCTGTGCCAGCGCTCGCCGCACAGGCAGGGTGCCCCGCAGACGCGTGCGTCTTGCAGGTCAGGAATGCAGCCGACAACCTGAGCGCAGCCAGTGATGGTCACGGCGAGCGCTCAAAGGTGGTCGTCCGCGCGCTCATCGTTGGCCTGAGCGATTTTCGCACGCTGCACATGATGGGCTTGCGCAACGCCGCGATGAACAATGCGCGGCGAGAATAGGAGGCCTGTGAGGCTGAGAGGGCGCTCTCTATGCGTATGTGATGAAGATAATCTCTTCTGTTGCACAACATTCTCTTCTCTGTCTGTTGTGAGAGACGGTAGACGTAGTATTACAGTCCGGAATTCTCTCACTTTGGGACACGGGTGGTGGGGGTCCCGGGTGGTGGTTGGGAGCTTGGCTGTTGATGTCCCCGCAAAGTGAGAATTCCGACTGTAAATAGCAAGCTCAAAGAGAGCGTTTGCGCGTATCGCTTCGTTCTTGTTCCGACGGCTCTCGAGTCTCATAGATAGATAGATGGGGCGCATGGCGGTGACCGGTCACCGGTGTGCAGTGATGGCGCCAATTACTGGTAAAAGAGTGGTATTTACCACTTATGGACTTATTTGATTCTCCTGGGGAGTGGTATGGTATGAGCAGAGTCCAGAGAGTGGTATGGTAAATTACGAAACTCCGTGGAATCAATTTTTCGGGCTCTGAGCCGAGTCTGAGGCTGGTTTGCGGCCAAATTCAGCCAAATTGGCAAAATTGGCAAAATACCGGGTATTTTGCGGGTATACCTGGGAAAATCCGGGTATACCTGGAAAATACCCGGTATTTTGCCGATTTCTCAGATTTTTGTCAGATTTTGCCTCAGAAGTCGGTGGTAAATCTTACCACCGTTTGAGATTGTTTTGGCCGTAGAGAGTGTTTGATTGTTCTGGGGGGCTATACCAGTAAATATGGCCATCACTGGACACTGCCGGTGTGGACCGATCGAGCGATCGTGGGGATCGAGGTAGGTGGGTCTGGGGGGCTGGGGGGCCGCGCGCCTGCCCCGAAACTAGGTAGGTAGGTAGGTGTTACCTCACACGGTCTATTGCAGAGACAAGGAGGGCCCACAGCACACACACCAAGAGTACATGTGCTGCACTGGACATCAGAGGGCCAAGGGTTGGATCAAGCAGGAGCACCAGTGGGAAGGGACTCGAGGTGACGCGCGAGCAGAGACCTACGCCTCCACGCGCTCCACACCGCCGCGCCGATCTTCGCGCGGGCGGCGCGCATGCGCACCCAGGCCGCTCGCGCGCCGTCGCGCAGAGTCGCGCGTTGCTGACGCAAGAGGCCCCGTGGGCGAGCTGCTCACTTGATCACAGGAGCAGCTGCAGGTGCCGCAGCCTTGTGCTGCCGGAAGTTCTCGAGCCGGCGCGCGCGCGGCTGGCCTTGCCGCCGCGCGCACGCCGCTTTGGCGCCGCGGGAGCGATCTTGTTGCTCACCGTCAGCACGCCGCACACCTCCTCAGAGGCCTTGCCCACCTCTCCAGATGTTGCGAGGACGCCACCCGGCATGGCCGGTCCTGTCGTGGCGTGGAGCCTTGATGACGCTGCGACCGCGTGCAAGCACGAGCCCAGGATCGTGCGTGAGCACGCTCGCAAGGCGGGAGCGGCCGCACACTGCTCGGTACCCCCCCTGCACACCTAAGCCCATGGCCGACCCCCCCTCCCCCCCCCCACCCAGCAGCAGAGCTCTGCTGCTGGGGGGGTCCGGACCCCCCCCCACGGACCGTTTTATTTACTTACCCGAATGGTTGGGTAGTAGGGGTAGAGGGTTGCCCAAAACTTAGACCTGCTCGCAGGCGAGCGCTGAACTAAGCCCCCGGAAGGAGACGGGCTCAAACTTAGACGCTGGTGATCGGACTCGCGAACTTAGACGACACGAGGCGGCCAGTTCCGGGTCTCTGCAGCCCCCGCACAGCCACGGAGCCCAGCCAGGCCGCCCGGTCCGGCCCGCGGTCTGCTAAAAAAAAGTGGAAACCCTGGATAAATTTTGCACGACCCCATGGGTCAAATAGGTAGCGCCGTCGCCAGGACTTGCCGCGCACGCCCTCCTCTCAGCCTCCGTGCGCAAGTGGCGACACGCACGCGCCACTTGTACACAACGGCTGCCCGCCGCACAGCCGCACAGAGGCGAAGAAAATTTCGGAGGCTGCAACCCTAAATGATCACGGGGCGGGTTGTTGCACGAGTATATGGGCCACGATGTCTCAAATATGAGGGGTTTTGACTCCTACCGGCTCCTGACGCTATCCCTGGCAGCTCTGATGACCAGGATCAGTAGTGTTGTGATGGAGGGTGCCCATACTAGCGCAGGAGCTGCCACACTCGCCCGGACCGTCCCCTTATGGGGCCGGTTCCGCAGCCCGCGAGAGCCGACAGCGGGGCCGTGCCGCGGGTGCCTACTGCCGAGTGCCACAAACACTGCGCCGTCCCGCCATCACCTACAGGCTGTCTTGTGTGATGGTTGGGATATCCAAACGCCACCATCTTGGCTCTTGCGACCTCAAACCCGCGAGCTGTATGGGTGGTCCTGACGTCGACAGACGCCCGATGACCACGGTGAAGCTGAGATGGAACGAGTCGACAAGTCTCGTCTGAGCCCGTGGCGGTCGCCGGCTGAGTCGCCGTGCACGGGCCGGTACCTCAGGCGTCACCTCCGCAGCCTCAGTTCTCAAACTCCACCACCTCCGCCAGGACGCCGTCGGTGGCACGTTCGGCGGCGTACTTTCTGCAGCTCCATCTCGAGTACGGCGTCGAGTCTACTCACTCCTGTTGGATCTGTGCACTCCCTGGGACCCAGGGAGTGCACAGATCCAGCAAGCGGTGCGTCCCGGCAGCGCGCGCAGGCTGCGGAGCTGCAACAAACTCGAGACACGCTTTTTGGGGACGCGTTTTGGCCCATACTTGCAACCCGGACACGGCCGACTTAGCCCGCATAAGAGCGGCTCGAGCCGATCTTAGACCGCGGAAGCACCCCAGCGTGACCGGTCACACTTAGACCTGTTAAGCCTCGAGGCTCAGAACTTAGCTAGCCTACTACCCAACCAGTCTTACACCTTACCCGCCTCAGCTCTGCCTCTCTCTCGTTCCCGCACAACCGCGCGCACGGCGCAGTCACAGTATAGAGTGCTTCTCCGGGTGAATCCGACGCGTGGTCCGTGGAGATAGAGCCGAAGACTCGATAGTCGAGCGCGTCGGAGAGGTGTTTCGTAAAGTTCTTCTCGTAGTTCTACTGTAGTGCGGTAGTGGCATCCCGCCTACCTCAGCCAAACTCGTCGCCGACGAGGCCGACGTGCGTCATCCTCTCTCCTCGCGCGTTGTGCGCCACGTCGAAGCGAATCGGGCCTACCGGCGGCGCCACCCTGCAGTGAGAGAGAGAGAGGCTTCGGCTCCCCAACCGTGCCTGCGCGGCGCCGCGCGCCGAAGCGGAGCCCGTAGCCAACCGACGCCCCGCTGGCAAGCGGCTGGGAGGACGAGGGCTTCCGGCCAGCGAGGGCCTCGTCGCGCGCCCCCGCATCGGCAAAGAGTACGAACGAGACGGGCGGCGGCGGGCCACCCGGCACGCGGGCGGGTAGCGGGAGGACGAGCGAGACCGACCCGCTCAGCGTGGCGAGGCCGGCGCCCAGCTCGCCAGACTCGTACCCGCGCACGCTGCCTACGTCATGAAAACACCGAGGTCAGGGAGGGGATACGGTATAGAGTCTTCAGAGCACCGCGTGAGTACAAAGCGAATGTAACGAATACAGCGGAATACGGCGGACACCGTGTGCACTCGAGTGCTAGTCGGAATACAAGATGACGTAGTCAGCCTCTAGGGCACGAGATATGGGGAGATATGGGGAGAGATTCAGCCTCTAGGGCACGGAGCCGTCCCCGCCGAGCCGCTCTGCCTCGTATGCTGGGGCGCCGCCACTCGCCAGCTTGCCGCGCGCCGTGGCGGACACACGGCCCGTGCGCGCCATGCGGCGGGCAAAGCTCGCCGCCGCCGCAGCTGCGCTGCCCAAGGCGGGGGCCTCTCTTGGCGGCGTCTCCGCCATCTCGCCGGGACGCGCCGCCATCACCACCGGCGGCCTCGCCGGCAATCGAGCCACCGGGGCGGCGGGGGGCGGCGACGGCGGCGAGGGCGGCGCGGGCGGGAGCAGCGGCGAGGAGAGGGAGGCCCGGCCCGACAGCCGCCAAAAGTCGGGGCACGGGTCGGCGAGCGGCAGAGCACGCGCGAGACGAAGCTCGCCGCCCGCGCTCACCCGCTCCCGCAGCCGTGCGAAGACGCCGCCCGCGCCGCCGCGCGCCACGGCGCCGCCGCGCTGCCGGAGCTCCGCCTCCGCCACAGCCTCGGGAGGCCGCAGCGCGCCGGCGGTGGCGCGCGCCTCGAGGAGCACAGGCAACTCGTCGCCCCGCCCGCCGCCCCGCCCTTCCCCCCCGCCGCTGCCGCCGCCGCCGCCGCCGCCGCCGCTCGCGGGCACGTGCTCGGCAGACAGCTGCCCGCCGACGAGCAGACCCGCCGCCCGCGGCGCCACCGCCGAGAGTAGGCACGAACCGCCCGCGCGCGCCTCGCGCGGCGCGTCCGCCGCCGCCTCGCCGCCCGGCAGCGGCCGCCAGAAGCCGCGCACGTCGCTAGCGAGGTGCGTCCCTCCGGCCGAGGCAGCAGAGAGGGCCCTGCTCTTTGGACGCAGCACGAGCGCACTCGGGTCACGCAGCCGCGCCGACACCTCGGTTGCGTTGGCGCGCGCGACGCGCGCAGACAGCTGCTGGTTGGCCCCGCGCCAGTTGCGGTCCTCGAGCGACACCTCGCCGGTGATTGAGCCGCGCGAGAGGGAGACCGAGGGCTCGAGCGCGCGGAAGCGCGCCGGCCGACCCTTGCGCGCGCCCTGCTCCACCACCTGCAGCCGCACCTGCAGCGAGCCGTCGCCGCCTTCGGCCGTCTCTGCGCCGCCGATCCGCGGGGCGTCGACAGAGGCGAAGAGGGGGGAGGAGCGGAGGCGCTGCCAGCCAGCCTCGTCGAGGCGCCACGGCTCGCCCGGCCGCAAGCCCAGCATCCGCGCCACCGCCTCCTCCTTGGTCGTCCCTCCGCACCGCACCGCCTCGCCTCGTGCCGCGAGCGTCTCCAGCAAGGAGATCGCCGGCAGACCGCACGCCCGCCGCCGCTGCACGAGCTGCGCCTCTGCGCGCAAGAGGGCGGCGGGGCGAGCGGCGCCCGAGGCGCGCGCGCGCGCGAGCGCCGCCTCGAGCCTCGCCGCCGCCGCCGCGTCGCGGAAACGCCCCTTCAGCACCGGAGGCTCGCGCGGCACCGCGGCCAAGGCGAGCGCGGTCTCTGCGAGCCAGCGGCGGGTGGCGGGCGGAGCGGGGGGGCGAGCGGCGACGGCGTCGGCGTCGACGGCCGGTGCGACGGGCGCGAAGAACTCGATCTTGACGGGCCGCCGCGCCACCTCCGGCTCCGAGGCGAGCAGGACAAGGTGGCTGCTGTCGCCCGGTTGCGAGACGCGCTTACCGACGCGCGCAAAGAGGTAGCCGCTGCGGCGGTACCAGCGCTCGAGCCGGTCGGAAAGCGCGCCCACCGCCGGGTCCGACGCTGGCCGGCCCAGCACGCCTGACTCGCGGACGGCCTGAGCGAGCACCGGCTGCGGGATGAGCTTCGAGCGGGCGAGCGAGACTCGGCGGATGCCGTCGGCGGCGGGCGGGGCGGCGTCGTCGACGTATCGCCGGCCAGCCGGGCGCTTGGGCCGGCCGGGCAGGCCGGCGGGCGTGGACAGCAGAAGGACGAGCATGTGCGAGTTGCGTCGAAGATGAGCACGCGACGTACGGTGTCGTGCGTGAGAGTGTCGGCAGCCTTCACGTTGTCGTGCTGACGCTCACGCCGCCCCCCCCGGCGTGCTGCCCGTAGGCGCAGCTCTACTCTCTCAGGCTCGACCCTTCCCGGTCAAGTCAAGAAGCCCGTTAGTCTCCTCTGCTGCGGCGGGCGGGCGCGAAAAAAAGCTGTCTTTTCGGCCCTCGAGACGGCGGCAGCCTCCCAAGCTGACGCCATCATGCTGCGCTTCGCGAGCAATCGCGTCGCTGGCTTTTTGTGGCTTGGACGGCTTTTTTGGATTCTCCCGCCCTCCAACCCCTCTTGGGTTTGCCGCAGGGCAGTGTTTTGTTCTCTTCGTCTTTTGTTTTCCTCTGGGGCGGCCGGGTCCCCATTTGCTCGCTCGCCCCGCATCACGCACCTTATCAGGCACCTTTGCTCGCGCCGCCTCGCCGCGCCGCGCGAGAATGCTCGCAGCTACCGACCCGATCTGCTGACCGGCGCCGGCATCTGGCTCGTACGATCTGCGCCCTCCACCGGAATTCGTATGCAGCATAGGCACCGGGTCTGGCAGCACCGGCTCAACGCCGCGCCCCGCGGTCGGTGCAAGCAGGGAATGTTCCCGCTGCTGCTCTGCTGCTTGGCCTGTCCGAGGGTTTCCGGCAACCCAGAGGGAAACCAGAGGGTCCCCAGCACTTTGCGTTTCCGGAAGTTTCCAGGGAAACCAGAGGGTGTTTGGTGCTCCATTCTGTTTCTCTCGAGTTTCCCTCGGGAAACTCGCGAGTTTCCCTGAGTCTGAGAGCTGGTCTGGGGCAAAATCTGGGGCAAAATTGAGGAAATCGGCACGATACCCAGGTATTTTCCAGGTATACCGGGGTTTTCCAGGTATACCCGCAAAATACCCGGTATTTTGCCGATTTTGGCCCCAAAACAGCCTCAGACACGGCTCAGAGCCCCCCCAAAATGACGAATTCCACGGAGTTTCCCCGGGGTTTCCCGAGGAAACTAGAGGGTGTTGTAGGGAAACGAGCAGGAAACACGGAAAGGAAACCAGGTAGGGTGCGAGAGGAAACTCTCGTACAGGCCAATCTGCTGCAGCCTCCAGTCGCGGTGCGGCCTCCGCCCTCTCGGCGTTTGCCTCTCGCCCTGCTGCAGCATCCGTCGGCGCCGACCTCCTCCCACGCTGGCCGCGCATCATGCTGCGCTTCGCGAGCAATCGCGTAACGGGAGGCTGGCCGAATTTTTGTGGCTTTTTGGACGGCTTTTTGGCTTTTCCCGCCTCCCTACACCTCTCTTGTCTTTTTATTTAGGCGAGGTTGCCCGAGATTGCCCGAGATTTTCTCATATGCCTTTATAACCCAGCCCAGCCCACCCCTCCACACACCCCCACACCACACCACACCTCCCGCCCGCCCCACTCTCTAGCGACTCTGTGTCCGCAGCCGTATTCGGCTGGAAGATGTTCCTCCAATATATTACGTAATAGTGCGCAAAAAGGGAGTTCCAGGGGTCAATACCCCAAAAACCGATGTAAGCGCGCGCAGAAAAAAGCAAATCTGTGCCCTCGCTGGCCTCGTGCAGCAACTCAACACGCCTTGCCTTCCGGCTGGCGGCGGCGCTTGTCTGTGGCTATGGCGGGCGGTCAGGGCGGGGCCAAGAAGCTGAAGCGCAGCACAAAGGCCGTGGCCGCCGGCGAGGCGCCTTCCAAGCGGGCGTCCGGCAAGTCCGCCGCCAAGGCGAAGCCAGCGTCCGAGGAGCCGCCGCCCGCTGAACGGATCGACATGGTGGTCGATGCAAAGACGGCGGCGAGTATTACGCAGCGGATCAAGAAGCGGGCGGCGAGCGCGGACAAGGGCGGGCCGAGTGGGTCCGGCACCGTCCTCTACCTCGGCCACATCCCGCACGGCTTCTATGAGGAGCAGATGCGCGGCTTCTTCTCGCAGTTTGGTGATGTGACAAGGCTCCGGCTGGCGCGAAACAAGAAGACGGGCGCGTCCAAGCACTACGCGTTCGTGGAGTTTGCGCACGCGGAGGTGGCGAGCATTGTCGCACAGGCGATGAATGGCTACCTCATGTTCACCAAGATCCTGGTTTGCCAAGTCGTGCCAGACGAGCAGGTGGCGACACTTCCGAGAGCCCTTCCCCTTGCAAGCGCGCCCGGCATCCTGCTCGCCCTCTCTCGGCCCCATCTCGGCCCTCTCCCTCGGCGAGATCTATCACTCGCAGTTGCACACGTTCCCCTTCCGCCGCCCCAGCTGCACCCGAACATGTTCAAGGGCAGCGGCAAGCCGTTCACGCCGGTCAACCGGCTAAAGCGCGAGCGGGTGGCGCACAACAAGGTGTCCGGCAGCGACCCGTGCCGACCCGCGCCGCGCGCCTCCCCTCCGAGCTGCCTCCCTCGCCTCACTCTCCTCCCCCACTGCAGCTCCGCCCGATCGCCGCCCTTGCCGCCGCCACCGCCGCCGCCGCCCTCACTATCGCCCACCACCGCCCCGCTTTCCTCGCCGCACAGAAGCGGACGGCAGACGAGGCGACGGCGCTCGAGAAGAAGCTGCTCGCTGGCGAGCGCAAGAAGCGGCGGAAGCTCGAGGCGGCGGGCATCGACTACGAGTTTGGTGGCTATGAGGCCGCCGTCGCGCAGCGCGAGAAGAAGCGCAAGCGCGCCGCGAGCGCGTGAGAGTCGAGGCGACCGACCGTGGGCACACGTGACAGTGGAGACGTTCTTTCTGAGGTCGTGTGAGAGAGACGTGTCAGTGGTGAAACACCAATGCCGACGGCCTGACGAGAGCACGTGCGTGCCACAGAGTCGGTATCTGTATCTCAGCGGTTTGTGCTATACATGCGTCGCCGACACGCGCCGAATCCGGGAGGGAAGCCAAGGGGGGGGGGGGGGGGCGGTCGAACGGGGCGGGCTCCTTGCCCGCCCGCGCGTCACGCAATCGCGCTGGCGCAAAAGCTCCAAAAGTCCAGCCTGTCTCACCAAAACGGACCGGTAATGGGAAGCCGCGAGAGCCGCCGCCTCGAGAAGATGCGGCAGCAGAGAGCCCAGAGGATGGCGATGGGCAGCGCGAGAGCGCCGGCGGCGCCCAGGCGCTTTCGCGGCGGCTGCGGCAGCGGCGAAGAAGGAGGCGATGGCATCCCTGCCGCGATGGCTCGCTGAGAGGAGGGCGGCGTGCGAGGCGGCCGGATGGCGAGCTCAAGAGGCACACGGGGGAGGGAGAGCGCCTCACGCAGCCCTCTTAGCGCGCGCTCCGCCGCCTCAGCCGCGCACACGCCGCCCCTCCGCATCTCTGCGGCCGACGCCTCGGCGGCGGCGGCGCGGGCCTCGGCAGCCGCCTTCGCCTCCAAGGCCTTTCGAAGCTCTGCGGCGCGCGCCGCGTCCGCCGCGCCCGCCGCATCTCGACCGCCACCGCCGCCGCCGCCGCCACTGCCTCCGCCGCCGCCGCCACAACGGGCCGCCGCCGCCGCAGCAGCCTCTGCTGCGGCGGCAGGTGCGGTCTCACCGAGCTTCTTGCGCGCGAGCAGCACCTCTTTCGGGAGCGGCGGCGGGCACGGCCACGGCGATGCTGGAAGTCCTGCGGGTGGCGAGGAGGGGCGATTGGGCACTGAGATGGTTCGCGTTGGGGCGTGAGCGGCTATGTGGGGACTGTGCCGTCATCATTGTGCTCTGCGTCGGCCACTCGCCGGTAGATCTCCCGCGCAGCGTGCACCCGCCCCTTCTTGAGGCGCATGTTGGCGAACGAGAAGAGAGTGGACACGCGCGGCAGCAGCACAAAAGCAGCAGCAAAGAGGTGGGCCGCGCCTTTGTTCGGAGGAAGGGGATGTCGGGTGCGGCGGCAGGTGCTGGCCCTGCGATGTGTTGTGTGCAGAGGCAGGCGGGCACCGTCGCTGTCATCCTCCTCATTGGCAGTCTTGCCCAACGCGATAAATTCAGAGGAAAAGTGGGAGGAGAGTGGCGACGCGGTGCCTCCGCCCTCGCCGTCGTTGGCAGAGCCGGAGTTGCGGCCGGCGGCGACCGTGGCGGCACGCAGGAGGGCCTCGGTGGCTGCATTTGCCTCCGCCTTGAGCCTACACTCCTCGACCAGCTGGAGGAGCCGGAGGCCGGGAGCAGCGTCCGCCATGGTGACAGCTTGTCGCTCTCCTGGCCCTCGTGCGTCCGCCGCCGACACACAGACTCGCGCAAGAATTTACTCTCCACTCAGAGTGGTGGTTGACGGGTTGAGGGTTGAGGCCCCCCCTCAACCATCTGGTTGACGGTTGAGACCCCCCGTCAACCCTTTAGTTGGGGGTTGAGGCCTCCGGGGCCTATTCACAGGCTCGCGCGTGATCACAAGATTGGAACAGCCCTGCCGCCAAAAAAATCGCTTCGCCTGCGGCGCGCTCTTGCGGTCCTCGTACCTTGAGCGCAATCCATAAGTAGGAGACGCTCACTGTCGCCATTCAGGCGCCTGATCCTTCAGCAAAGCGATGGCCTACCAGGTACGAGTTCAGATGCGCGCCCGGCAGAAGACGCTTGTGATGTCGCATGCATGCAGTGGAATGCGCACAGAGAACGGACGGCAAGAGAAGGCAAGGGAAGGAAGATAAACGGCTGGTGAAGCTCAGCTCACGGCGTAGTATTGCGGTCACTAACCATTCACGGCAAGAGTCACGGTGAATGCTGCCGCATAAAAGCAACAGAGTCGCGGTTGGCGCGATGGTCTTGTCGCGGTTATATCGACTTGACGTTGCACACGGCCATA